GCAGCAAGGGCGGGGAGTGGGGGGTGGACCTAGGTTGTGGAAGGCGATGCTCTAAGCTGGTGCCCTCTCCCCTCCCCTCCCCCACCAGCGTCAGAAACCAAGGGCTTCTGGCGGCTGTGGAGGAGCCATGAGTATGGCCCCAGGTTGTGCTCAGCCCACCCTTCAGCAGGCAGGGCCAGATTGCTACAGAGATGACCCCTCTGGCCTAGAGATGGCAGTGAGCTTCCTGGCCCACAGTAGCAGCTCTAAGAGCCTTAACCAGGACATGCAGGCAGACCTGGCTGAGGGGGACGCCCCCTCCCCTCCCTCCCCTGCCCATCCTCCTGGAGCCGTGTGACCCTCCCCGCAGCCACCCCAGGTGCCCACGCATCCGGCAGCCAGACTGCGCGGGGTGGCACTGTGCTTCCTCTGGGCCCGGGCCTGGGTGCAGGAGTTAGAGCAGAAATCTTCCAACAGTTTGTATTCCTGTGGGGTTTTTTCCCCAGTTAACTCGTACGTTTGTCTTTGTGACTTTAAACTCTTCTCAGGGGTCAGTTCATCTCATAGACTATCTTGCCCCCGCAAACACATGCCAGTCCTATCCTGACTGCCCTGCTGCGGGTCTCAGCGCCCCTGGAACTTAACAGGCCTCCACGGTGCACCCAGACCTCAGCACCAGGTCGCCTCACCGAGCCCAGCTCTGCCTCTCCAGACCTGTGTGACTGGGGGCCGGTTACTGGCCTGGACCTCAGTGTCTTCCACACTGTGCTGTGAGGGCTAAGTGCCTGCATGCATGGGGACATCTATGTGTACAAATCTCAGGTCCTCGTTAGGACTGAATGCCTGGAATGGGTTGCTGGGTCCACGCGGAGACCACTGTGAGAGCTTCGTAGCCACTGTTTGTTCCTTGGTGGTATTCTTTGAGGCCCTCCTCTGAGCCAAGGATCCTTCTCGATGTTGGGCTTCCAGCTATGCACAGAGAGACAAAATCCCTGCGGTGGTAGAACTCATGTCTGGGCGGGGCAGACGACCGACATCAGAATGAGAAACTCACAGCGGTATGTTGGAAGGTGACCTTAGCTATTGGAAAAACAGAGCTGGGTGGAAGGGGTCAGGGCAGCTGGAGTGAGGTGGTCAGGAAGGCCACGCTGGGAGGTGACATTTGCACAGCAATTAGAATGAGGTGGGCCTGGGAGCCAGTGGAACTGCTGGGGTCGATCTTCCAGCAGAGGAACCCGTGAATGCCAAGGCCCCGCCGTGGGAATGCAGCTGGTGTGTTGGGGTGAAAGGAATGGACGGTTCGGGGACACATATGGGCCAGGTCACGTCCGAGCAGAGGCGTGCAGAAGTCAGAAGCCAGGAGCTCCAAACATGCTCCCCACGTTGGGGGCCATTCCAGGAGGGGCCACACATAGCTCCCAGACCTAAGTGCCTACCGGGGGTGCTTCAAAGGGAGGTCCCTAAAAGAGGACGGTAGCTCTGTGAGAGCAGGATGGTCCTGCTTGCCCCTGTGTCCCTGAGCCTATAGGAAGTTGCAGGGGCCCTGAGGGATGCCGGGCAGGGAGACAGTTGGCATTTGGCCGCCTTCCTCCCCACTCTGAGCCACCCGACAAGGTCTCTGGGACCCTCCCTGGTTTGGGTGCCCGAGGTGTCTGGCACACAGGGTGTGTTACATGGACATGGTAAGCTGGGGTCCCCCCGCAGCCCCACTGGCCTGCAGCCACACGTCCTCTTCTGTCCTCAGGCATCATGCTCATTACCCTGCCAGTACTGGGGACTCAGACTCCCTCTGCCTGCAGACCCTTGCCCAGGATCTCCATGTAGCCAGTCCCTGTCACCTGCACCCACCCCAGTCCCCCATCCCCCCATCGCATCCCCCCGCCCCGCGCCGTTCAGAGCTCTTCCTCAGAAAAGTCAGCCCTGGGCCCTCAGGACCTGGCCACCCTCCCCTCCCAGTGACAAGGCACTTTTGCTTCCTTGACCGCCTTGGTAGCTGTCTATCTTGCTGGCTTGTTTCCTCTCTGCCCCTTCTGAGACTTGTAAACTCCGCGGGGGCCAGGCCCTGGTCTGTGTGCTCACCACCCTTGTCTCCTGTCCTGGAGCACTGTGTGAATGTTTCCCTGGGAAAGATGCAGGCCCAGGTTGGGAGAAGCTTGGTGAGGGCAGCAGCTCTGACCCTCCATATCCCGATCTGCCCTTCGCTTCCCTCCATTGGCTGTCTGGCTAAGGGGGAGAAAGGCCAGCAGAAAACAGAGTGGCTCCTGGGGACATTTGTTCCAAATCCACAGTTGTGTCCAGGCCACCCCAAAATGGAGCAGAGGCAAATGAGCCTGACCATCTCAGAAGAGCAGTTCGATGGCCACATCTTCGCCAGTGCCAGAGAGATTTTCTGGGTCTGCCTGCTTTGGGCCATGTGAGGTATGCCCGGTGTGTAACGAGAGCCAGCATGGGCGAGATGGACCGCCGATTGGGCCACACCTGTCTCCCCAGCCCCGCGCAGACGCCGGGGAGCCCCGCGCCTCTTCAGCCATCAGACCTCCTGGCACCAGAGGGAGACAGGCTGCCCGTGCCATTTGTCAGGGTCTGGTGCCAGCCACCTTCTCTGTTTGCAGAAGGAAGGCTGGGGCTCCGATCTCGGGAGGCAGATACCTGCAGGCCTGGCGCTAGCTTGGGGGCCTGGCCCGGGGCCATTCCCACGCCCCGTTCCAGAGATGCACTATCCCGCTGGGTGTGGAGCCTGCGATCGGACACCGTGCTGCCCAGCCAGAGGACGGCTCCACTTGGTCCAGGTCCCACAGGCCCCCAGCATCCCAGCGCTCCATCCACATCAGCCACGAGTCCCGGCCTTCCTGGGGGTGCAGGCTTTGAGAGACCAGCAGTCTCATCTTTGCCTGTAGAAGGGAGACCAAGTCCCCTTCCAGAAGGTAGAGCTACCCCTGGTTGACTCTCCAGTGTCCCTCAAGGCAGCCTCCTGGTCACCTTTCTAAACCTCCACGGTGCCCTCGCAGCAGGTATTCCCCTGCCAAAGTGGACCCGCACTGAGTGATGGGCTGGGGAGCAGCAGCCGCAAGCCCAGAGTCCAGACCCTCGCTCTTCCTCACTGTGGGGCCTGGAGGCAGTCCGTGCCCTTCTGGGGGCTCTGTACGAAAAAGGGGTGGCTTCAGCAAACACGCATGAGTGCCTGGCCTAAACGGGATAATCCACATACCCCAGCCACCCAGAGCTCCCCACCTGGTGGGGACAGGATAAGCAAAGGCACTGAAGCCTGACACCAGAGCACCACTTCTGGCTTCCTGGGGAGACCACAAACACCCGGCCAACACTGGGCCGAAGGACGAGGCCCTTCAGGCGCCGACAGACACAGATTGGTGCAGCAGGGCACGCAGGGAAGGGAGCCCTCTGCCTGGTGCCCAGCCCCCGCTTCCCACCAGCTGTGGACTCAGCCTCTGGGTCCACTGGCCAAAACAGCCCCTCTGTGCATATTAGAAAGAAGTGGGGGGACGCAGGCCTGCCAGGACCCCTCTTGGCAAGCACAGTGTGGGCTGGGCTCCACTTCACTTGCCCCTGGCCAGGAATGAAGGCTGTGTACCCAGCTCTCCCGGTAGTCGCTCCCGGAGCCGCCGCCCCCTGGGCCTCCTTGCCCCATGCCAGTCTCACAGCGCCCCCTCCGCTCACCCCCACCACAGCCCTGCCAACTTGCTCCCACCGGCTTCCCTCAGCAGGGTTGTGAGCAGCCAGCTCCAGAGCGCTCTGCTTTTACAAAGCTGGTCTGAGGCCTTGGCCACAGCCTTAGAGCCAGAGCCTTTCCGCCTGTGCTCAAAGCAGCCGTCTCTCACCCTGGCCAGCAGCCCACAAAGACGCTGGGCCATGCTGCTACCAAGCAGTTTCCTCAAAAAGACAAGCCCCAGAGAAAGCCTAGTGTTCCAGGAGTGCAGCCAGGTGCGCAGAGATGAGCGAGCCTTCTTCCGTCGCCAGGGTGGGGAACCGCGTTCCAGGCAGAGGGAACAACCTGTGCAGAGGCTCGTAAGCCCGACTGCAGGGAGCCCAGGAATGGTCATGTGTTCCTTGGGGCGGCAGGGAATGCACAAAAGCAATGGGTGAAGCAGCTAGAAGAGCTGGGGCTGGCTTTAGGGTGTTAGCAGGGGTCTGATTTCCACTCCGTCATTTGCCTGAAGAGAATGAACATAAAGTCTGTATGGTGTACATAGTGGAGGGAGTTACGAGAGGGCGCTGGTTTAAAGGAGCCTGTAAAATGTGATGGAAACCAGTGGGGGCTGCTCCCACCCCTGCATGGAGGGACAGCGTATGCGAACGCCCAGGGAGAAGGCTCCCCAGCGGGAGTGCCGGCTTTAGGGAACAGGAATCAACACCCCAGCTGCTCTCTCCTCCCACCCTCTGATCTGTTGGGGCTCCCACTGGCTGAACCTAACCAGCAGCCAGAGGGCACAGGAGCCTATATGCTGTCTGCAGAGGTCCGCCTCCCAGGCACACAGAGGAGCAGAGAATGGATCTCCAGGGACAGTTGGAGAACACCTAGCCCAGGGAAACTCAAAAGCCAAGTTTCAGTGTACGTGTTTTAGCGTGAGCGTCCTGGGAAACAGTAGGACCATTTAGAGCAGGAGAAGGACGTGGCCAGTAAGTGTGAGGCTGATCTGCATAGAGCCTGAGTGCAGAGTGGGTGGGTGGGCAGGGGACTGGGACACGGAGGTGGGGACCCCTGCTGAGCTCCAAGCTGGACAGGCCCCTGACGTGGACCAGCATGGTGGGGGAGGGGCTGGAATGTGGGATTTAGGTGGCAGAGTGGACCCTAGGACTTGGGGGTCCATTGGCTGGGCACAGAGGCAGAAGGGAGTGAGCCCAGAGTGGCACCGGGGTCCTGGCCTGGCCTAGGAGAGAGTGAGGGTATCACTGAGTTGGGGGAAGGAGATTTGAAGATGGGCCAGCATGAGCGGGTGCCCATCTAGGGCAGAGAGCAGCAGGCTGGGAGTGGCAGAGTAATGGGCTCTTTCCGTGCCTTGCAGGTGGCCTCAGCCCCGAGTCCAAGAAGATGCTGACGCCCACCCTCAGGAAGCGGGGCCGGGCTGGCCGAGGAGAAGCCGCCAAGCCAGAGGAGGGGGCGGAGCGGCCCGAGCCTGCGCAGCACGTGGCCGTCAGCCTGTCCTTCAAGCGCTACGTCTTCGACACCCACAAGCGCATGGTCCAGTCTCCCTGAGGGTTCCTGTGACCTTGCCCAGGCCCCCGGGCTGGGCTGCAGTGCCACGCGTCGGACCAGATGTGCCTCGCCCTCCTTTCGTGTATCCCTCCCCATGACCCTGCAGATGCGGGCCCCGGGCCTGGCGCTACGCCCCGGTGAGGAGCCTGGGGAGCGAGGCAGCAGCGGCTTCAGGGCCGAGGCTCAGAGGGTCTGTCCTGGTGCCCTCCGAGCTGCTGGGGGCCAGCGTTTCCCAGGTCGCCCCGCAGGCAGCTGTGGGAGGGCTAATCCTACAAATCCGCCTACAAATAAATGCCCCAGGGCGTCTGCCCGCTCTGCTGGTCTCTGTGATTTCACCTGGAAGGGCCCCCCATGCCCGTTCCTGGGGGGGAATATCAAGGGAGTTAAGCAGTTTCCCACCCAGAGAAGAGCTGGAGGAACCAGAACTCAAAGCCCAGTGGGAGTGGGCTGAGGAGTTCACAGGGTGTCAGGCCCCTAGGCCAGGCTGGGTGGCCCCGGGGGGGTCTCCTGGGCCTTAAGGGACACGGGGGTTCTCTGGACCGCCAAGTCCGGAAAGGGCTGTGCCGGGAAGGGCCCCCGTGGAGTGCTGGGGAGCCACGAGGTATCGGGCCAGGGCATCAGGTCAGAGGCTGGCTGGAGGGATTGCTCCCCCGTCCAGCAGGCATAGAGGGACCACCAAACAGGAACTAATTCTGGGGTCAGATCCACAGTCGGGGTGGGGTGGTAGATGGAGGTGCTCAGAGCCATTGCCTGGTTCATTCTGGCTCCTCTGCTTGTGTGATCTTGGCCCAGTCCCCTGACCTCTGTGCCTCGGCACCCCCACGTATAAAATGGCTACAGAAGCAGCTGCTTCATGGGGTTGTTCGGGTACTGGGTGCCCTGCTGCCTGCTGCATTACCCACAGCCCTGGCAGTAGGACCAGCACACAAGGCCTCACTGCTGGGAGGAGAGGGGCCTATGAACTCCTCGTAGTGGGGCAGGCAGCCCCAGGGCCCAGCTCTGCTCTGAAATGGCCATTTATCTAGGACCTCTGTCACAGTGCCCACGCCCACCCACACATTTCTCCCTGCCTCCTACATGTCCCGCAGACAGCACCCCTCAACACCCAGGGGAGGAGGCTGACTCAGGTGGAGTACACTGAGACACAGAGAAGAGGAGGAGCTGGCCAGTGTGACTCCTAGAAGCCTCGGACCCTCCCCCCCACACACCAGAGAGTGCGGGCCGGCAGCCTGCTCAGGGAGAGGCCTCTATCAGGCCTGGCATCAGAAGAAACCGGAGTGCCTGGGTTGGGCCAGGACACAGCCTTTGAAGGAGAAGCGCAGCCAGGGTGGGTGGTCAGGGGCGGGGGCCAGCAGTGTCCAGGTGCATTCCCACAGCTGTGTCCCCCTGCCCCGGCTCCCCAGCCAGCTCTATGTGCTGTAGAAGAGAGGGCAAGCCCCCTGCAGCCTTTCTCAAACACATAAACTCGCTAAATCGGCGCTTCTACCCATAGGGGTGTCTGGGAAACATCACCTTAGTTGTAGGTGTTGAGGGTGGCAGGGACTGGGGCTCAGCTGACCATAGCCTCAGATAGAGCTGGGACTCAAATCCAGGCTTTGGAGGATTCCAGACATCCCCACGTCCCTTGCCTCAAGGCCTTGGGTGTATCCTTGGGAAAAGGTGCCTTCTGGGGCCCTGCTTTGGGCAGAGAGATGGGGGGGGCAAGGGGCAGTGACCCCCCCACTCCTCCCCCCACCTGCCCATACAGAATGAAGTCATGGGTAGGCGTCCTGCCACGGGCTGGGGCAGGAGGGGTGGCCGTGATTGGCAGGCCCCCAGACCAGCAAGGCTAATGCACCAGCAATGAGATAAGGCTTATCTGGAAATGTCCCTGGAATCGAGACTCTGATGGAAACAGGCTTCTGGGTTAATATATTTTTGATAGATAAAGTCTCGTAAACGGGAAGCCCTGGGGCCCAGGGCAGGAGAAGGGGCAGCTTCTGTTCTCCCAGGCCTCCTGCCCTGCCCGTGCATGTGTGCGTGTGTGTCTGGGTATGGGTCTGTGTTCCGAGGGTCTGTGGCTGTCAACACCCGGGTGTGTGGGTCTTAGTGTCTTGGGTGTGTGCATATGTCCTCATGTGCTCAGGGAAGGCAGTCTGTCAGGCTGTGGCTCTCTGGTGTGTCTGTGTGGGAGTGGGGTGAAGAAGAGGGTATCGGGAACAGTGTGCACAGGGTGGTGACATGTGTGGGGGGCCAGTTTGTCCCTTGGGCCCCAGGGGCCTGCAGGTCGGTAGGGCCTGGTTCCCGGAACCTGATGGGATGGGAAGGGGGAGCATGGTCCTCATTCTGGGGACCCAGAGCCCCCCTCAGGTTGAGCCAGGACCTCTCAGTTCCAACTCACCCTCAGGGTTGATCCAGGCCTTGGGCCTTCCCTGCCTCCTCTGCCTTTAGCTGGGCTTTAGCCTTTCCAGCTCCCCTTCAGGAGACCAAGGCCAGTCCTGCTCACAGCTTCTCTGCTCCTAGGTTAGCCATGTCTATCCTCCATAGCCTTGAGAAGTGAGACGAGGCTTCTCAGTGAGGGACCACTGGGACAAGGCCTTGAAGAGAGAGTAGGAGTTTGCCAGGAGGAGAGGTGCCATCCAGCAGAGGGCACAAAAGGCGTAAGGCCTCAAGGAGAGCACTGCATCAGGCCTGAATGAGGAGGGATGAGGTCATGGCTCCCAGGCTCCCCCCCAGCGCGTGCCGGGCCTCCAGAAGCCTCCACACAGGCAGCCCTGATTAAAAAGAGTAATTAGCGCTCAGCTGATAACAGAGTAGTACCATTAATTAGCAGAGCTCAGCCAGCAGTGGCACTTGATTGCAGGGAGGCAGCGGCCAGCAGCTAGAGGACGGTGGGGGATGCGTTGTGTTCCCTCGGGGAGAAGCTGACCCCAACCCCGGGCTCCTCTGTCTGTCCCAGCCCCATTCCCTTGCTGAGAGCCAGTGGTGTGGGCAGAGAAAGTAAAGACGGCAGCTGGGTGGCGCCGGAGGCCTCAAAGGCTGCTCCAGTCGTCTTGAAGGGTGTAAGCAGGTCAAGTGCATCAGATCGGAATTTCAAGAGACCTCTCTGGCCCCAACTCCATGCCAGTTCTGAATGTCCAAGGCCTAGAGGTCAGGACCCCCTCACCCAAGAGGCACAGAGACCACAGGGGTGGAGGAGGGCTCCCAGGATTGGTTTTGGTGGTCAGTTGGCCGAGGAGCAGGGGAGGGGTGAGGCTGAGCCCTGGGAGGAGGAAGAGGGCTTGGAAAGTTTTGGGGATTCAGTGTAGGTGGATGGAAACTGGAAACAGGGATAGTTTTGGAAAGAGGCCCGAAGGTGGTTCTTCCGCATTTATTAAGCACCTCCTGTGTGCCGGGCCCTGGGATCACAGCCCGGTGCTCCCTGGATGCGGTGGGGCGGGGGCAACCTGGAGCCCACGCGGTGTGGCTGTGACCCCTGCCCTCACCGTACTCCCGTGTGCGGCTCAGCCATCAGGCGGGACAGGCTGCCCTGTGCCCCACCCCTACCTGGGCCAGCAGGTCAGAGGTCAGGCGTCCCAGAGCCTCCCCGTGTGCCCCACCATGAGGTATTGCTCAATCCCCTCCCCACGCCCTCCCATGTTATCACCATCACTGGGGCTGGTGGGGAGACAGCACAGCAGAGAGAAACAGCCACTTCCCGTGGCCACAGCTGGGCCTCTAGATAAAGGCCAGCTGGGAGTCCAGACTGACCTGGGGAGGCTGGGTAATGGGCCAGGTTCAGCCACCTGCCTGGCCCCTCAAGGGACATCCCAGAGACTCGGCCCTGAGCCTCCAGGCTTCCAGCACCATCCCAACCAGACAGGGCTAACTGCCCCCCTGTTCTGTGGGGGCCAAGCCTCTGCTCCCCTGACCTGCACAGCCCTACTCCCTCCCCACTTGGGCCCTGTCAGCTTCCCTGGGCCCACTGAGCCTCACCGAGCTAAGGAAGGTGGCCGGGCCATTTGGGTTGGTGAAGGCCGATGGCCTCCCCGCCGGTCTCCCTTCGCTCCCTCCAGCACCTCCTCTGTCTCCCCGGGTGTCCACATCCCTCTCCCTCCAGCCCAGTTTACTTTTCTCACCTGCCACACCCTGAGGCTGGGGCTGAGCCCTGAGCCGTGGGCAGCCTGCTGAGGTGGGCGCAGGTGGGAGGGGCAGGCTGGGAAGTGCAGCTCGGTGGACCGGTCCCTGTAAAGGGCACCGGAGGAGTTCAGGTCACCCTCTCCTCGAATCCCTTCTCCCCGCCTTGTCCACCTCAGTGTCTGCCCCCAAGCTGTGATCTCATCCTCCTCCCCGCCTCACCCTTCAGCCTCTGAGACCCCCCTCGCCTCACCACACCTTTCAAGTTCCCTCCAAGGCTGAGAGGGCCCTGAGGGGCTCCTTGCTTAGAAACAAAAAGCAGGTGGGGGTCAAGCCAGGTGGGGTGCAGGAGCCAGGCCTCCCCACCGGTGCTCCATGGGGAGGCCTCGTAAACCCAGATTTCCCAAGGGTTCCAGAGCCAGAGTCTAGGCTAGGCCACAGAAGCCAGACCTGACCCATCCTGTGTCCTTCCAGTTCACTACCCAAGCAGGACCTCCCATACCAGTTCCTTATGCTGCCCCTAGACTGTCATTGTATGACAGTATACTAACCTCACCCCCACCCAAGACCACCACCCCCTCACCTCCTCCACCAGCATCACAAGGGATCAGCTCAGATCCATGTGGGGGACACCTACATCCAGGGGGAGGACGCATGAGGTCACTGGCCAGGAAGGGGAGCCATACGAGGCCAGGGGAGGGAAGGCGGAGGCAGGTTAGGGATGATCAGGAGATCGAGTTCTCTGCTGGCCTTGGCACTGTTTGGCTGCAGGAGGGAGCCGGGAGGGAGAGGACCGAGGGTGCCTGGGCAGCCTCTGAGGGGTCACTGGGCCCACTGTGGGCCAACCAAGCAGGGGGACTGGGTTTGAGCGAGTCCCCTTGATGAGCTTGGTATGGACCCCTGAGTCTGCCCTCCACAGCTCTTGGTGGGGGGGGGGGTGCATCAAAGGCTCAGGCAGTGGCAGGGGAGCCCAGAAAGAAGGCAGAGGAGCAGCTGGAGAGGGAGAAGGAAAGGCGGGTGGGGAGCAACCGGGAGGGGCTGCAGGCGGGGTCCCACGGGAAGCGGACCAGAAACCTCGGGATGGGGGGGACAGGTGGGCGTGGGCGTGAAGCAGGACTGTTGCACAATGAATGTGCTGTGAGATGAAGCAATTCAGTCCCTCATCAGATGTGG